CAATTCCCTCGCACCTCATCCGTACTCTGTCTTCTTCTCTTTCTCCACCTCTCACTAAAATTCTCAATCTCTCTCTCTCCTCTGGTATATTTCCATTGCCCTTCAAACATGCAACTGTAACCCCAATTCAAAAGAAGCCCAATCTTGACCCTAACTCCCCATCCAACTATCGTCCTATCTCGCTACTGCCTTTTGCATCCAAGATCCTTGAAAAAATTGTGTATGTGAGATTGACAGACTTCCTAGAGTCCAACTCTCTGGATTGCTAAGCACTCTGTGGAAACAGCACTGACCAAAGTATCCAATGTTCTACTCGCTGCAAAATCTTGTGGTCACTACTCTATCCTAATTCTCCTTGACCTGTCTGCGGCTTTTGACACTGTTGATTATCAACAGCTTCTTCTCATCCTCCGCAATATCGGTCTACAAGATATTGCTCTCTCATGGTGCTCCTCCTACCTCTCCCAGCGCTCTTTCAGTGTTTGTTTCTCTGGCTCTGCTTCTTCTCCCCAACTCCTCTCTGTTGGTGTCCCCCAAGGTTCCGTCCTTGGTCCCTTACTGTTCTCCATCTATACTGCCTCTCTTGGTAAACTCTAGCTCCTTTTGGCTTCCAATATCATTTCTATGCAGATGACACGCAAATCTACCTGTCCTCTCCTGATCTCTCCCCGTCCCTCTTGACTAGTGTCTCTGACTGCCTCTCTGCTGTTTCTAACTGGATGGCTGCCCACTTCCTTAAACTAAATTTGACCAAAACTGAAATTCTGGTCTTTCCTCCCTCAAGTGTTGTTACTCCTGTGTCTGTCTCCCTCCAAGTCAACGGTGCTACCATCAGCTCCACCACGCAGGCTCGCTGCCTAGGTGTTCTCTTTGACTCCGACCTCTCCTTCAAGCCTCATGTTCAATCTATCGCCAAATCCTGTCATTTCCATCTCAAAAACATTGCGCGCATCCGCCCCTACTTAATGCCAGAGGTGACTAAGGTGTTGGTCCATTCCACTGTCCTTTCTCGCCTTGACTACTGTAATCCACTTCTCAGTGGTCTTACGTGCTCCCAACTTGCGCCGTTACAGTCCATAATGAATACGGCGGCGAGGCTCATCTTCCTGTCCGCCCGCACCTCCCATGCCTCACCCTTCTGTCAGTCCCTACATTGGCTTCCTATAAAATATAGAGCTCAATTTAAAATTCTGGTTCTTGCTTTCAAATCTCTACATAATGCTGCTCCCACCTATCTATCCTCCCTTATACACAAGTATGTCCCGTCTAGGCCCTTACGATCTGCTGAAGACTTACGTCTATCTTCTGTCCGTACTCCCACCTCTGATGCTCGCCTTTAAGATTTCTCGAGGGCTGCACCGTTCCTGTGGAGCTCGCTTCCCTTCTCCGTTAGATGCTCACTCAGTCTCCACTCCTTCAAAAAATCGTTAAAAACCCACTTCTTCATAAAAGCGTATCAATTAAACTGTTAATAGCTCCTGACTGATTCCTCTTCTGCAACTGTCATTAGTCTAATACTATCCTTTCCTTTTTGTGTAATTTTACCCCACTCCCTCTAGCATGTAAGCTCATTGAGCAGGGCCCTCAACCCCTCTGTTCCTGTGTGTCCAACTTGTTTGGTTACAACTACATGTCTGTTCGTCCACCCATTGTAAAGCGCTGTGGAATTTGACGGCGCTCTATAAATATCATAATAATAATCTGACTACGTAAAGTTTTGTGCTTGATAATTGTGGTTGTTATAGTGTGCATTCTGTATTATATAAATGATGCATAACATATTAGGGGAAAATAATGTATTCTCCTGCTCCTGGAGACATTCATAAACCACTTGACCTTTGTTCTTGTGGTTTATTCTAATGTATCCAGAACACTCATTGGCATTATTTTCTCTGAAATACGCACTTCACCATTGCATGACCATTTATTTATTTTCTGTGGGATTATTTACTACCTGTGGAATTTGTTTGTAAAAATTCCTTATAAATCCATCCTAATTGTGATACTTTAGATCAATTATATTTCTTTTAAAACTAAATTAACCTATTGCATGCCTGTTATGCTGCTTGCTGCAATTATTTTCTACTACCCGATGCTCGTGGAAATAATGATAAATATATTCCTTTTGACAGTGTTGTAGAAGTCTGCATTTTTTTTGCATTGTCACAATCAGTATGCAGTGTTAATAGGGTGATAAGCAGAATCAGGCGCACACTGCCTTGTTTTTCAGATCCTGTGGCAGAATCATTTTAATTCTTGTATTATGTATAAGACCTTTCTAATGGTAATTTTAGTGCGTTATTGCAAAGTACATGGTTCTTAGAGCACCGTGAGATCATTTTCAGTACGGTTTCCAATTGGTTTAGTAAAAATCAAAAGGCATTCTACCGGGACTGTCAATCAAGCAGCATGGAACATTTACTTCTGGGTTGCTTATATAACATGTATCCCTATTTATGGATGAAGCGTCCAAACAACTACTGAACTAAATATTGTGCTTATCTTTTGCGTATAGTTTAGTTGTCAGAAGTATAATTGTGAAACGACTTGAAAGCGGATATAAGCTATAGAGTGCATGTTTACAGTCACTGTACAAGCTTTAGTTGGAGAAAGTATGAGTTTAAATATATTGCACGTTTAATCCAAAAATATGTACAAGTCAGCAGGAAGTTATGCATCCTTTCTGACATCACAGCATAGATTGGTGGACAGGTAACTGCAAACATTTTTGCCAATAGCTGAATCTGGGAAATGTAGAAATATGAAGTCTGTAAAGATGAAAATGAAAATGCCATTACCAGGTTGATCTTTAAATTGAAATTCTTTAAGTTAAAAGGAACTATGAAAAGAATTATCTGGAGCTTCTACAACTAATAAAACAACTTTGTTATTCTAAAGGCATGCAAAGCATCATGGAGTTGTAGTTCTTCAACATTTGGGAATCTACCAATTGGGAACCCATGTTGTAGTGGATATGGTTAAAGTAGTGCCCTGGCTCCCCTCCCTCCCAATTGTAAGGAGGCAAACTGTATCCTGCTTGGTGTCTTCCTTTAAATAGCTTCTCTTCCTTTCAACAATGGATAGTGTGTTTTAGATTGTGATGTGTTGGGGGAGGGACAATAATTATTCCTAGATTCTTGGGTAGACTTCAGATACAATATTGCCATAAATATGCAGTACTTTCTGTCATGTTAGCACACCTATTGCTCTTCACGCACTCTAGAACAAACTGGCAAATATTTTATCTACATAAAAAAATCACCTTGCTTTTGTTCAAGTGTTCTGTGTCCAAGTGCAGTATGAACCTGTGTGCATTCTAAAATTTCAAGAGTGTATACTAGATATGGTATCTGTTCATCCTATGCAATATTTCTTCTTAGTTTGGAACCAGTATTGCAAGCAGTCACCATGCTTTTAAAATCAGATTTTCTTTCATGCAAACCCATTTAATTTGTTTATTTTATAAATGTCTATGCTATTCTTTGAAAGTTGCAGTCATTTGAAACTAAGATGAGCAGTCAGGCAGAGTGCAATTTTTTCCCCCCTTTTGTTTCTTATTACACTCAAAATAAAATGCGTAGTAGCTTTGTTGAAGAAACACAGCATACTCCACCAATGACATTTTAAAGAGACAATATCTGAAAGTTTTTGTATGGAACTGGGTAAGAAATTGGCCTATATTGTTAAACTGTACAATTTTATTTTGTCGAATTTTGGCAAATTATTTTTGCTTTGTTGATAGTGACATTGGTAATTCTGAAGAAAAAATATATAGTTTTCCTATAATTACTAGCTCAGAATTAGCTTTCTAGATTTGTAAATTGATCTTGGAATGTTAGAAATCTCCTTGGAACCATCAGTGAGTGAAATGTTGCAAGATAACTTGGATCTGTTGGCAGTGTAGTAGAACTTGGATGTTGATCCGTAAACACAAGTTTATGTTCTAAAACAACCATAGGCGTGCGCAGCCTATTGCATTAGGGTGTGCACCCTAAAGCACAAACACACGCTGCGTGCGCGCGTGTGTGTGTGTGTGTGTATATATCTATATATGTGTGTATGTGTATATATATATATATATATATATATATATATACACACACACACACACACTGCTGTGTGTGTGAGGGTGCTGTTAGTGTGATGTGAGGGTGTTTGTGTGTGTATGTTTGTCCTGTGAGGATGCTGTTTGTGTGTGTCGTGTATTTGTGTGTGTGTATATATCTATATGCTGTGTGTGTGAGGGTGCTGTTAGTGTGATGTGAGGGTGTTTGTGTGTGTATGTTTGTCCTGTGAGGATGCTGTTTGTGTGTGTCGTGTATTTGTGAGGGTGCTGTTTGACACACACACACACACACACTCACACATAAGAACAAATTATTACATTTTAATTTAAAAAAAAATGTCCGGGAGAGGCGGAGCTCGTCTACCCATGGTTTTTCTTTTTATGCATGTATCATTTGTACTGCTTATAACAAGCCTGTTGGTATCTCTTTTATTCTCTTATCTTATTTCTCTTGTTCTAATAATGTCTAATAATGTTTAATATTAAACGTTAGAAAACTGTTACGACTTCCCAAACCACACAACAAGCTACCACGAGCCCAGGTGGCCACGAGTACCGTATGACCAATACGGATAACCCCAAGGTGCACCCAAACTGCACCACTCCCCCTTGGCGGGGAACTTTGTATATAACTTCCCACCCCCCCTCCCAGTTTCCTATGTCACCCGCACCCGTACCCATCAAACCTCACCCCCTAACCCATGAGAGTACAAAGTCAGAACATATTCCAATCACACAAAAAGATAATTTATGCTGGCACTCAATCACATAGGTGGTGCTGGTATTCGAGGTTATCCCTACAAAAGCCCCATAAATATCATACAAAAAATATATATGAATACCGCACTCAATGTTGTAAAATAATCAACCATAGGTAAAGAAGTGCTATAATTGAATTATTTTGTTCAATTCTTTAATGTCTAGTTATATAACTTAATATGTGAGATTATGATTAGATCAAAAGAATATATTACATCATATAGTCAATCGCTATTTACACAAATAACCTCCATAGGTGTTATATAGATAAATAATTAATGTATAAACACAGTTGTAAGTATTTCTGTTTGCAAAACTAAGGAGAACCTATCCATATGGATAATAGTAGAATCTGTGGTGTTCTATGTACATAGAAAAAAGAAAAAAGAGAAAAAAGAAGAAAAACTGAAAAAAATGAAAAAATATAAAAAATAAAAAATAAAAAAGTATACCGATAATAAATGTCCTGATGTACATTAGTCCAGAGAATAGTGCACTTTTAGATAATAAATAGGTGAGATCCACCTATTTATTATCTAAAAGTGCACTATTCTCTGGACTATTGTACATCAGGACATTTATTATCGGTATACTTTTTTATTTTTTATTTTTTATATTTTTTCATTTTTTTCAGTTTTTCTTCTTTTTTCTCTTTTTTCTTTTTTCTATGTACATAGAACACCACATATTCCAATCACCACCTCCAAAAACAAGATCATACCCCTCAACCTCAGAGCCAATGGGAAAGTAGGCATCAACCACGCATACAAATGGCAGTGAAACACCTATCCCAGGTACAGTCCCCCCCAAACATGAAAATCTACTCCCACAATACAAGGGGCCTCAACACTCCACACAAACGCAACAAACTACTGGAAGATCTCAAACGGGTCAAAGCAGATCTAGTATGTATACAAGAAACACACTTTGTAAAACTCCGCATCCCCAAATTTGGCCTGGCCGAGTACCCCATACAATTCCACGCCGCACACACCTCCAAAGCCAGAGGAGTCTCCCTGCTTATCCACAAATCCCTCTCCTTTGAGCTGCTCAAGCTGATCACGGATGATCAGGGAAGGTTTCTCATAGCCCTATGCATGATCAATGATGTTAAGTACACAATAGTGAACATATACAGCCCCAACACACAACAAAGAAATTTCCTCCACAAAGTCCTCTCAAAACTCGAGCCCATCAAAACCGAAAATACAATGGTCTGCGGAGACTTAAACCACATTTTAGACCACACTTTAGACACGTCATTGCTTACTTCACAATCCCGTACACATCACCTCAAACCACAATGCCAAGCTATGACGAAACTAATAATGGAGTTTAACCTCTACGACACATGGAGGGCCCTACACCCAACAGAGCGTCAGTACTCCCACTATTCCCAAGTCCACAAAACACACTCAAGAATAGATCACATTCTCTCCACTGGACCACTTCTCCGGAAAGTACTGCACTGTGAAATAGGAGACATAGTATGGTCGGACCATGCGCCCAACGTCATGTCCATAGCAACACAATTTACATCCAGAGGGTATGCCCCCTGGAGATTGAACGAATCCCTGCTGCACAATGATACCTTCCACAATATCATCCAAAAAGAGCTCACAGAATATTTCTCCACAAATAATGACAAGGTAACCTCGCCCATAATGATTTGGCAAGCTCACAAATCAGTCATGCGAGGGCTCCTCTTAAGCCGCGCATCGTTCCTTAAAAAACAAGCACAAAAAGAACAAATAACGATCCTAAGAGATCTTAGAGACGCCACAGCACAACACTATATACAACCTACGGATACCCTGACGAAACAAATTGAGAATCTGACAGATCAACTGAACACTATCGCAATGACAAAAACGTCGTACATGATGCATAAACTCAAAACACGAAACTACACCCAGAACAACAAAACAGGCAAACTACTTGCCACACAACTAAGACTTAAATACGCCCAAAATAAGATCCCATACATCTTAACCACAGAGGGGAAACAACTGTACAACCCACAGAACATAGTGGATGAATTAGCCAAATACTACACCACGCTCTACAATCTAAAAACAGACGCACAAACACACCAACCCACTACATCTGAGATCCAATCCCTCCTGGCAAAGGTATCCCTACCGCAAATTCCCCAGCACCATACGGAAACCCTGAAAACCCCGATTTCAGAACAAGAAATCATCCAAACAATAATGTCACTTCCCCCGGGTAAATCACCAGGCCCAGATGGTTTCCCAAATTTTTACTATAAAACATACGCGCACATATTGGCACCACAACTACTCCAAACATACAATACGATGATCGCACAAGGGACAATGCCAGCAGATATGCTCATGGCACACATCACGACTCTCCCCAAACCAGGCAAAATCCCAAACAAAGGGCAAAACCTACGCCCGATCTCACTGTTAAATACAGACATAAAAATAATTGCTAAAATATACGCAAATAGACTAGCTAACATTCTCCCAGCGATTATCCACCAAGACCAAGTGGGGTTTATCAAAGGGCGGCAGGGTGCCGACGGAACGCGCAAGGTAATCAATCTAATACAGAGCCTACGGGGGAGGGAGCACAGTGTATTTCTCTCACTTGACGCCGAAAAAGCGTTTGACAGACTACACTGGCCCTTCCTCGTGGCGGTCCTGCAGAAATATGGATTCCCGGATACGTTTATCTCAATAGTAAAAACCCTATACAGCAACCCGACCGCTAAAGTGGTGGGAGGAGGGTTCACATCCATTCCGTTTGAGATCTCGAACGGCTCCAGGCAGGGGTGCCCCCTTTCCCCGATGCTATATGTCTTGGCGCTAGAGCCACTCACGGCACTAATCAGGGAAAACCCAGACATCCATGGGGTTCAAATTGGACCGCGTGAGCACAAACTCACGCTGTTCGCAGACGATATTCTGCTCACACTTACTACCCCCCACAGCTCTATCCCCACATTTCTTCAACTACTACAGGAATATAGCAGATGCTCCTATTATAAACTCAACCTAATCAAGACTCAAGCCCTAAGCCTAAACACACCCCAACATACACCTCTAACGAAACAATACAACTTTGAGTGGAGATCAGACAATCTCACCTTCCTAGGACTGACCATCACACCCACCGCCCTAGGCCTATATAAAGGTAACTACCAAAAACTCTTAAAGGAAACCCGAACCATATTAACGAGCTGGCGGAAAAAATACCTCTCATGGACAGGCAGACTAGCTGCCATAAAAATGATAATCATCCCCAAATTCCAATACCTGTTCAGAACCTTGCCCATCCACCTCCCAACTACATATTTCAAGGAAGCACAAAAACTACTCAACCAATTCATTTGGGATCATAAGATGCCAAGAGTAAGTGCTCGTATCCTTTACCAAAAAACCCCTGAAGGCGGAATGAACGCACCCAATCTCCAAACATACTATCAGGCAGCCATCCTAAATAGCATGATACTACTTTACGGTCACAACCTACCCCCCCAGTGGGTAACAATAGAAAGGGACGCGGTCAAACCACATGATCTTATGGCACTAATCTGGGCCCCCAAACAAAACAAGCCACAACACACCACACTACTACCGACCACCGCGGCGACACTACGAGTGTGGGGAAAAATCAAACATATATGTTGCTCACAAACCCCATATTCTAGAGCGATGCCAATATCTGCCATACCCTCCATAATACCAAACTTTAACCACAAATTATGGGAACAACATGGTATACATCACATACATCAACTATACCAAGAGAACCGCCTACTAACATTCACAGAGGTACAAAACCTTCATGGACTTCCAACAACAGCCCACTTCTCCCACAGGCAACTTCACTCGTGGGCAACAAAACACCAAAGCGAAGTGGAGGTTACGCCCAACGAACCTCCACTAACATGCTTTGAGAAAACCATACTCAAACTGACACCAACACAAAAAACCTTCTCAATGCTATACACCAACATATTACAGCATAACACCACATTTAGACACCCCTTCGTCATTGCATGGGAAAAAGACCTAAGACAAACCCTCCTCGAAGCAACGTGGAGGAAGATATTTATTACCCCCAAAACCCTCACACTCAGTGCCAACCATACTGAATTATCCAGAAAAATCCTCTATAGATGGTACTTAGTGCCCACACGCCTCAAACAGATGTACCCGGAGGCCTCTGACAAATGTTGGCGTTGCACCTCGACAGCTGGATCGATGATCCACATATGGTGGACATGTCCAGTACTACAACCCTATTGGTCCGCACTGACAAATCTAATCCA